CTGCCAGCGCCCAGGGGGGGGGCAAGTTCCGGGTGTTTTTTTTCTGGGGGGGGGGGGGCAGCTCACAGGGCTGTTACTCATTTATCAGAGATCGTTGTTTGCCTCGGCGTCACAAGAAGCTTTTCCCTCCCCTCTGCCACCCCAGACCAGGTGTATATTGCAGCTCTCGTGGCTCCTGCGTGATTCCGGGCTCGTGTCCCACCACGTGGAAGCCTGGGGAGGGGTCCTTGGTGCTCCTGGTGTGGCCCTGGTCCTGCTGGAGGGATGGAGAGGTGTCAGCCAGAGTGCTTTCGGATGCTTTGGTGCATCCAGATGTGAACCCGCTGCTTCATTTGTCCAAAAAAGCTCGGTGGCTTCGGCTCATGCCAGATGTGGTGCCACCAAAACGACTTCTTTCTCATTGACCTCCATCCCCGCTCACCCACCTTCCTGCCAGGCCCATCGCTCATGGGCAGACCCTCAGTCTGGGTGTTCCAGGAGTTCCTTGGATGAGGGATGTTCTGGGTGCCCATCCTCTGCTCCCTGCAGGCAGCACCCATGGGTGCTCTCTGGGTGCTCTATGACCGGCGTGTCAGGAGGGAGAAGGGGGGGACATCTCCCCTCTGCCTCATTGCTGGGATGCTCCGTGGCAGCGGCCAGTGTTGCCACAAGGTCTGGGTCTGACACCCCCCGAGAGGAAGCAGCAGTTTAATGCAGGCTCCAGGATGACGGGCTGATCCCACAGCCAGCCCCACACTTCTCCTTTTCAACCCCAAAACCCTCTTCACTTTCGTTTCACTTCAGTTTTACCTCCCCGAGACCCGGCGAGGTATTTGCTTCAGGGAAACTGTCTGCAGCGAGCGTGTTTGAACAGCTGCTCTGCAGGGTCACGTATTTGGTTTACATATATATATATCTATATCTCTAAAAAAATCCCCCAAGCAAAAATATAGGTGCTGGTTACTGGTGGAGAGCTCTCCTGCTGCGAGATGCCCATTTTGTCTCCTTCCTCCTCAGCACCCTCAAAACGACCCCGTGGCTTTGCCCAAAGCAGCCAGGGAAGGCGAGGGGTTGTTTGGGAGGGATCGGATGCATGGAAGCGAGAGCCGAGGTAGATGTTGAGCTTCAAGGCAGCTTGGGATGAGAGAGAAATTGAGATCTTGTGGAAAAACACTGGGGGGAAAAGCTTGTTCTCGCTTGAAGAGGCTTGAGGAAGATGCCAAGTGGCTCCTATCTGGGTTTTCCTTTGCTCTGTGTTGCTGCACGTCCGCAGCATCCTTCCCCGCGCCTCTGTCCTCGGGACTCTCGTCATTTCAGGAGGGACAAAGCTTTGGGGACAACCACCTGGGGCAGCAGGAGATGGCCAGCTGTGCTTTCGGGGAGGAGTGGAGCCCTGGGAGCCCCCCCACCATCCCCCATCCTGCTGGAGAGCAAGGGTTGTGGGTACCCCAGTGTGCCAAGGCTCCCTCTCCGCTTTTGGGGGAAAATGTGCCTGCTTTTTGGGTGTGAAAATGCAGTGGGGGCATCAGCTGGCTCCACTAAAGCAGATCCTTCGGTCAGGGGGAGGTGTAGGAGATGATGGCCGGGAGCGATGGAAGGAGGATGGGGAGGAGGAGCGATGGAGGAGGTCTGCTGGGACCTCCTGGAGGAAAATAAACCCCTGAGCATCCGAACCAAGCGCTCGGCAAGTGACTGCCACCACTGCGAGGGAGCAGACACTGAGCTGGGGGGATGCTGTGGAGGGTCGCTCCCCTCAGACTCCCCTCCCTGCCCCATGCTGCCTGCAGGCTCAGCGCCTTGCCCTGTGCCTCAGTTTCCCCTTTGGCCAACGAGTGTTTCGCTCTTCCCTGCAGCCATCCCGGGGCTGAGGCCGTGCCCGGTCAAGCATCCATGCATGTCAAGCTCCTTCCCAAGCCCGCTTGCTTGCTGAGGTGCCAGGGGTGGTGGTGGCATCTGACCTGGTGTTCTGTGTTCTCAGGAGGGTTTGGCTGCTGGTCCCATCCCGGAGAACTGGGGAGCTCATCCTGAGGATCGGCTGTGCCGGCCCCGTGGCAGGGGGCTGGGCAACCACCCTTGCCAGGGGAGCAGGAAGAAGATGAGCAGGGGCACGTCCCATCTCCTGACGGCTCTCCTCGTGGTGGTGGAGGTGGCGATGGGCTACCCCTCACGGCGCTCTGCCACCGACCTGGATGCCACCCCCAGGACAACGGTCACCTTTGATGGTAAGGTCTTGGTGGTGGCAGTGAGGTTTGGGGTCTTGCTTTGTCCAGCCTTTACCAGCCCCCGGGGTGGGGGGCTCAGCGTGGGGGTCTTCTGGTCCCCTTGGGGTGCAGAAATCAGAGCCCACCTGGCTGTGTGGCATTGGGTGCCCAGAGGCAACGTGCCCCGAGGGATGGAGCAGGGGAAAGGCATGTCCCCAAAAGCTGGAGGGGGGACAGACACGACAAGGACGTGCAGGAAACCAGCCTTGGCCAGCCCCTGGCCCTGCCCCACAGCCCTTGGTGGGTGTCCTGAGCCAGGCATCACACCTGGGCTGGGCTCTCGTGGCCCAAATAGTCACCAGGGAGTTTTTATTCCATGATTTTCTCTAATTGCCGCTGGGCTCTTGGCCTCCAGCCTCTGTGGTCTCAGCCTCATCGTGACTTGAGCATCCACACGACTTCAGTGACCTCGTTAGTGAAGCCCAGCTCAGCGGTCGATGGAGGGAGAGGGTTTCGTTTGCAGCCGGGTGCCCTTTTCTCCCCAGGCAATCCCTCCTTTCAGGGGGGGCCATTCCCTCTGTGGCTGCCTCCGGGGTCCCAAGCCCCACAGGACTTTCTCCTCCTGTGCCGGGAGGGTCTGAGCCCGGCTTGGGGTCCTTCTGGCCAGGGCTGAGTCCCACCTCATGCTTCTCAGCACCCCAGATGGGATGGTTTCTCCGGCCCGGTGGGCAGGAGGGGCCCTGCCTCACTGCAGGAGCCCTCCCTTCGCACGGCAGTTTTGGTTCAGGGTTTTTTTTGCATCCTTCCTTTTGGTCTGACTGGGTTCAGTTCAGAGTTGGGGTCACCACCGACGTGTTTTCGCTTCCTCCACTGGTTCCCCAAACAGCGTGGCAGGTCCGTGCTGGCCATGGGTGTTACTGCAGCTCCCACCCCTCAGCTGCCATTTTAATTCATAGAATCATAGAACAGTTTGGGTTGGAAGGGACCTTAAAGATCATCGAGTTCCAACCCCCTGCCCTGGGCAGGGACACCTCCCACCAGACCAGGTTGCTCCAAGCCCCATCCAGCCTGGCCTTGAACCCCTCCAGGGATGGGGCAGCCACAGCTTCTCTGGGCAACCTCTTCCAGGCTCTCACCACCCTCACAGCAAAGAATTTCTTTCTGGTATCTCATCTAAATCTCCCCTCTTCCAATTTAAAACCGTTACTCCTCATCCTATGGCTCCACTCCCTGATAAAAGAGACTCCCCATCTCTCCTGTAGCCCCTTCAGGTACTGGAAGGCCGTTATAAGGTCTCCCTGGACCCTTCTTTTCTCTAAGCTGAACACCCCCAAACGGGAAGAAATTTCTCCTGGGAGCCTGAGCCCAATTAGTGCCTTTTGCCTCCTCCCAAACCTCCCCTCATCCTTTCCTCCTGCTGTAACCACGGGCACCATCTGCCTGATAACCTCAGTGGGTGCCTTCCCACCCAATCCCGGCTCCATCCCCTCTCTTTTCCCAGTGCCTCGCACGGTGCCTGCCCCGGGGTGCCCCCCCTAGCAACCTATTCCAGTGTCTCACCACCCTCACAGTAAAGAATTTCTTTGTAATATCTAATCTAAATCTCCCCTCTTTCAGTTTAAAATCATTACCCCTCATCCTATCACTACACTCCCTGACAGAGTCCCTCCCCTTCTTTCCTGTAGGCCCCCTTCAGGTACTGGAAGGCCACTATAAGGTCTCCCTGGACCCTTCTTTTCTCTAAGCTGAACAACTCCAACTCTCTCAGCCTGTCCTC